CTAGTTATTTCACTTGTACAACATTTCCAAAGTCTACCCACATTATTGCCATGTATCAGAACTTCATTGCTTTTCATAGCTGAGTATTCCATTGTGTCTATCTACTACATTTTCTTCATCCACTCATTTGCTGATAGGAAGCTGTATTGTTTCCCCTTTCTGGAAATTACGAATATTGCTGCTGTGAACAGTGATGTACTAGTTATCTTTTAACTCTGTTTTCAATTATTTTGTGTATATGCCTAGGAGTAGAACTGTGGGTCAGAGTATTTCTGTTGAACTTTTTGAAAAATAGTAGAGATGTAGTTTTATAATCCAGATACAATCTTTTGCCAAGCACAATAGCCACAACAGTTCCTATTCATTTTAGAAAACAATTCAATTCTGGATAGTTCTTTCCTTCCAACCCACTCAGGCCACAGGTGTTGATCTAATTTCCAGGAGCTTGACCGCCATTTGAGTATTACTTTGATTTTGCTGCCATTCTAGTATCCTGACTCTATTTTTCAACACTGCCTTTACACATGTAAAAGTACTTACTCTGCATGCTAATACTCCAAATGAAAACTGTAAAATTAACCATGATTCAGATGTCTGTCCCACTTCTATTTTTTTTTTGCGGGGGGGTTTCCAGGGATCGAACTCGGGTCCTTGTGCTTGCAAGGCAAGCGGGGGAACCACTAAGCCAAATCCCCAGCCCTTCAGCATATTTTTTCGGTACAGGTTGGCTTCTATTGACCTAACAACCTTTTAAAACATGTTGAACTTGGACAATGTATTTAAGACTGTATTTTTGCCAAAAAAAAAAAAAAAGACTGTACTTTTGCAAAGACTGGATCTCTTTTCACTCTAAACCAAGGATGACAGCCTGGTACTTCTAAACTGACATCTCACTCCCATCACCACTATTATAGGGTACCTCCCCCCTTAATTAGGAAAATACAACTAAGTTCAAAGAAACTATCTGGAAGGATACACATAAAAGTGTAACTGAGAGCATCTCTGTACAAATAACTAAACAGAAGATGTCATGAGGGATTTCAGTTTTTATTTCCACAAACTTTTGCATTTGAATTTTTCAAACACGTATTCGTAAACCAGGCATGTTGGCACATGCCTATAATCCCCACAACCAGTAGGCTGAGGCAGGATTGCTGCAAGTATGAGGCCAGCTTGGACTACAGAGTTAAGTTCAAGGCCAGCCTAGACTACATAACAAGACCCTACACAAAGCAAAAAACAAAACACCAAAAAGAAAACAACAAAACATTATTGTGTAATAGTTTTAAAATGTAACTTAAAAGGTGAACTATCAAAAAGGTAAACAAGCAAGTCTAATAATACCAACAAATAGTACATACAGAAAACTTTAATTTCAATTAACTTCATAACACCATAAGGTAGACAAGCCAGGGATTAAGACCTTTTACTAGTAAATAAGGAAAAGAAGGTTGAGAAAATCTAATTTTTTAGATAAATGCACTAAAATTTTTTTTTTGGTACCAGGGATCGAACTCAGGTCCTTGGCTTGTGGGGCAAGTAGCAGAACTACTGAGCTAAATCCCCGGCCCTGCACTAAATTTTTTTAAATGACCTTTTCTTTGACCTTCAAGTCATCTTTTAAATAGTATGATTAGCTGTGAGACCTTAAATTGTATTTGATTACATATGCAGTTCTCCCAGAAAAATAAAAAGGAATGCCTTACATTTACTCAAGAAAGACAAAATGGTCAAAAAGTAATAAAGTACAATATATAAAAAAAAATTGTAAAACAAAAACAAAATGTCTTTGTGCTTGAAATGTTTAATGACTTCTCAAAGACATTTTATTGTCAAATAGCACCCACCCCAAACCTGAATTTTTAGGTTTCAAATAACTATATAAGATGTTTACTCATAATATAAATATGTCCATTAATAAAATCTGAAGTTTAAAGGATGTGGACAATGTATGCCAATTAGGATGAGAAGATACACCATCAACAGACTCATGTCTACAGGCTAGTTATAAAGCTGTGACTAGTCAATTTGGCAAAGTTCAGGCTCTGGGCTATAAAATTACAGCAGCAAAACTGATTCTAGTGGCCCAGAGTTCACTAGCTATCTAAAAGGCATAATTTTACAATCCAAGATAGGGAAAGCTTTAGGAAATCATTAAAATCATTAAGGTAGTGTTTACTTCTTTCTGAAAAGAATAGAGCTAAATAATAGAGAAAAAAGCCTAACCAGATGCATAGTAAGAAGACGATTTCTTTCATACATGTATGTTGTATGTACACATATATATAACCAAATGGCTGAGATAATAAAAATAAGCATTTCAGTTACATAGCAATACAAAGCAACTTTAAGATACTCTAGTACAATACTTCTGACTTAGTCACAGTATAATCTGCATTGCACTTTGTTCTAAAAATCTACTCAAATAATACACAATATTAAAGATTTAACTTTGTTTTCAGACATTGAAACACTTTAGCAAATGCATTTCACTTAAGCTTTGAAGTTCTGTGACTTCAAATATTTTTGTCAAGTGGTAATAGTGAATACAAGCAGTGCACCTTCCTTCACAAGAAGCAATTTTCCTACTAATTTGCAATAATCAACTGTTTACTGAGAGGTTATTATGTGCCAAGTGCTGTTTTAGGAAAGTGATGTGTTTAAATTTAAAAACTACGCATTACTGATTGAAGCAAGGAAATTCTGGAAAAGGTAAAAACATAGATAAGATACATTAATTGAAAACCAATTATTTAGCATATCCAAAATATAATTTATAGTTGATGAAATTACAATTTCAACATTATACAAACTATGAAGCTCTTCATGCTCAGGTTAACTTTAGAGAAATTATTTTTAAAAGTGCATGCCTTTATTCTATCATTTAACTCACATTTTAATTGGAAACAAACTTCAAAAAGACTCCCAAACTAAATTATCCATTTCCATCTCCAACAAAAAGTACATTATATTAAACAATGAAATCCTATAAGCTACTAGCACAAAACATAAAACCAAACTCACAAAAGAGCTGAATTTTAGGACTAGTATATAACATTAAGACAATAGCTGGGTCCCAAGTTCGATCCCTGGTACCAAAAAAAAAGAAGACAATACACCAAAAAGCAACCCAAAACAGAAATATTAATTCACATTATTGAAAAAAGTCCAAATTTTAGATGTTTTCAGAAGATAAAACAATCTTTATATATAACAACCATAATATTCACTCTCTTGCAAAATAAAAATGCCTGGTATTTTCTCTGAAATCATTTTTCTCAAAAAGTTTTAAGTGTACTGAGGTTTGTCTCCCCACTGCCCAACAGCCGCTCAGTTTTGAGCTTCTCTTGACCACAGGTAATACTCCAAGGGTTCATCTTAAAGAGATGCTAGGAGGATGCTTCAAAGACAAAGTTCTACATGCTTCAAAAACAGAAATTTCTCACATATGAAACTCAGCTGAAATGTCAAACTGGAGTGTATTTACCCTTTTTTATTTTTTATTATTTTACTTTTTGGTACTGGGGATCGAACTCGGGACCTTGCACTTGCAAGGCAGATACCCCATTTTTAAAAATGATTAATCCCCAGAAAATCTTCAGAGTATTTACAATTTTAAATTTGACAGCATAAGAAAGCCATTGTATGTTTTAATAAATGATACTAGTTTTAAAACCATGCTTTAACTTTATAATTTGATCCCGAGGGCTGTCCGAAGTCACAAGAAACACATACAAGAGCCACACAATACCAAACAAGAGCAATAACCACACACCACAGATCTAGTACGAGGGTTTCCCTGGACTCACACGAACTGAGGACGCTATCGCTTCCATTTGAACACCCTGTTACTACTTCTCCACGTTCTTAACCTTCTGCAAAGATTGTTAGCCAGCAAAGAAATCAAGAACGACTAAGTGGTTCCATTACAAACATATAGTTTAAAACCTTTTCAAAATCATGACTTTCCTCACAAAACAATAAAATTTCACCAACAAGCATCTCACACATCTGATCAACATTAAGAACAAATATATCCAAATGACAATACTAAAATTTGCACTCAGGTAACTCACTAATCAGTTTAGAATACTTCATTTAGCTTTTAACCTGAATATTTCTACATATTCATCTTAAATTCAGCATATAGCCACTGAATATTTTGTTAATAACTTCTACTCCTGACTGTAAGTTTAGAACACTAATGCAATCGCACATCCCATTCCAATCCCAACCTGAGAACTGAGAGGTTAAATACTATAATTTTAAACTATGAGAGTTATAGAAGTGAACAATGACCTCCTTCAAATAAATGGTTCATTATAACACATCCTTTTAAGTCCTCCACTTCACTGCTGATTCAGCAAAATCATCAAGTCTTCCTTCCACCCTGACTCTACAGTAGCAAAATGGCTAAATAAAGTGACCAACAAACCCTTTGGAAATTCCTTTCAAATTGTTTTCAAACTGAAATACACACCCCTATATACAATCTGAATGAAGAAATACAAAGGGAAAACAGTACCTTTTAAGTTTAAATCTATTCATTAAAAACAAAATCCTTCTATCAAAGTCACAAATTTCTTGAATTGCCCTGCCGAAAGTTCAATACAAAACTATATACACTGGAATAACTCTGAGGATCCAGTGAAGAGTTCTACTATTAGCTTAACATCGCCTCAGACATTACTATAGCAAAGCAGTTATCTAAATCAAAAAGTACCTGAGCACCTAAAAGGTTTTACACCATCCTTACAGAACATATCTAAGACCCATTAGGCAAGGGTATACCTTTAAATCCATTACTTCTCTTGGACAGAGTACTGAGCTTGTCAAAAGCTCATCAAAACGCTATACTTAAGTAAGTTTCAGCTGTTGGTTGATGTGAGCACCGAAACAAGCATCAACCAAAGCAAAAATCTATAATAGTCCAAAGAAAACCCGAAGGCAGAGTTTAAAAGGATTATTAAAAAAAAAAAAAAATCTCAAAGGCAGCTCACCTGCAGTTAGGTGGAGGGTCTAGAGTGATGTCTGCCAGTTCCTTCTGAATCCTGGGTCGGGAAACAAACACAAGGAGCGTTAAGGCGTCAGAAGCCTCCCACCTGTGACAAACCCAACCGCGACCACTGGGATCCACTAGGACACTGCACATCAAACGCTCAGGTCCATTACTTCAGGAAAAAACTTTTCAGAGGCGGGAGGCGACAGTCTGAAGTCTCTGGCCGCAAGATCTGGGTTCTAGTTTTGCTCGCACACCGCGGCCGTTCTAGTTCTTGGCGTTTTCCATTAGGGAAGAAATCACTTTAAAGTTTCTCCCTCCGCGCTCCCCTCCCGAATCCTTCCCCCACACCTCCCGGTCGCAGGTCTGAACCACTGAGGGGAAGGTCGCGGCCCGCCCCGCCTCCCGACCCGGGGCCCGCAGGTCTACGCCACAAGGCTGGTGGCCCGGAAGGGCGCCCCCCGCAGGCCGCGGACGCCAGGCCCGCCGAGCCGCAGCGACGCCTCCAACATGGCCGCTCCCCGCGAGGCCCCTCGGCCCCGCGGTCCTGCAGCCGTCTCGGGGTGCGGCGGTCCGCCCATCCGCGCGGCTGAAGGTGCGGGTCGGGGAGGGCGGGTCCCGCGCGGAGCTGCCGGCCTCCCGGGCCCGGAACCCCGCCCGCTCCCGCACAGGTGCACCGGCCCTCGCCCAGCAAGCCGCCCAGACTCTCGGCCCAGCTTTCCTCGAAGTTCCCCCACTGCCCTTGGGCCTATTCCTTCTCTGTCGCCCCCTCTGCGGCTCACACTGGACCCTCACCTGGGACCCCCAATTTTCGGCCTGGGCACTAACTCTCGACTTCACAAAGAGCCCCATCCCCCACTCTCAGGCCGAAGCCACCAGGCAGTTCACACCAAGCCCTGGCCTTTGTCTTGTGCTTACCTAGGCGCTGGGAGCATCAGTTAATACAGCCAACTTTGGGGCCTTTAAACTGCTTCCACCTTCTAAAACGGTGCCTATTTTTATAATCTCTCCTGCTATCATATAAAGCCCTACTGTTCTAGGTTACAACTTAAAAATTTCACTGAACCAGCTCGGGAGTAAAAACACGAACAAACACACAGACTTGACAATTTAAATGACAATGGATGCTCTTCTCTTTCCAAAGGTTTCTGAAGGTAGGAAGAGACCAGCTATTAAAAGCTATTAAAAGTTTTGGAAGACATTGCTTCTGTTTAAAGAAGAAATGGGCCAGGATTTAGCTCAGTGGTTCCAGCGCCTGCTTCGCAAGCACAAGGTCCCGAGTACGATTCCCCGTACCAAAAAAAAAGTAAGAAAATGACCTTAAGGGCAATGACTTAAGTTCTTTAAACTTTCCTATTGAAGGACATTTCCTGACCCCTACAAATTGGTCAACTTTAGAAGTGTTTAAGTTTCTATTGGCATCAATTTATCAGTTTCCTGCTAAATTCTGCTACCAATGAGCTTTTCAGTTCTGACATTTGCATCCCTGCTGTTTTTGACTCATGCATTATTCCATGTTAGAGTAAAAGTTTAGAACCCTGGTTTCCTGATTCCTTTGCACCTTTTAGAATTGACTATTTTAAGACCTATGTATTATAGGCAAAAACTTCCTCCCCATAAACTCAAAAACAGGTCGCTGTTTCTTTAATATCTAAAAATTAATACTAGATAGCTTTATTCACTTGTCTTGGCTGCCAGCATTTGTACTATTTCCAGAGGACTGGCCAAAGATTTGCAAGAGGAACTCATACACACGGTCCCAGAGTGATTCTGGTTCAGACCACTCCATGGGGCTCCTTCCTCTACCCACAGTTCAGAAACCACTTTCCACTGTGCAGTGAGTAACCTGTTAGTTTGCCAATTCAAGCTTCCTTTTCACTCCATCTCCTGGTAAAGGCGCCAAATGTGCCCCTCCAACTCCCTAAGCAACACCTATCTTCCAAATCAATGTATTTCACAGAACACCCTCTACAGGACCCCACTAACATCAATTTTCTCCTGTTCCTCTTTCCTACACATACTCTCTTCACTTTTTGCCTTTGATATTAACCTTAGCACAAATAGCCTCTCCCGGCAAGACATCCAGGCCACTAAATTCACACTACTGGGGGGGGGGGCTGAAAGAGAAAAAGAGAGGATAGAGGGGGAGAGAGGAAATCCTGATGCTAACTTATAGGTAAAATTACTATTTATACCTTCCCACCTTTAATTTTCTACACCTACCATCTCTTTCCCAGCCATTTCCATGTAAGTTTTGAACTTCTTTGGAATGGACAAATTGTATTTGAGCAAACCCCCGTCTTTGTAATTTGCCAACAAAAAGCAGACTTTTATTTAAAAGTTGTGCCTCTGCCCCCCAAACATATTCGTGTACACCAGAGATACACAGAAAAACATAAATGCTAATGACCTGAAGTAAATGCCTGCAATGGGGCAGTTCAGACCAAAAGCCCAGTGACAATGGGGTTGTCAGAGGGGAGATTATAAGGAGTGGCTGTTCAGAGCAGGTATGGAAAAGGCTAGGTACCAGGAGAACCCATATAGGGCTAACAAAGAGGGCTGGTTAGGTCTCCAGGGAAGGCAAGATGCAAACAAATCAACCGTCTTAAAAAAGAGCAATCTTGAGGGCCAGGGATTTGGCTCAGTGGTTCCACTGCCTGCCTTGCAAGTGCAGGGTCCTGAGTTTGATCCCCGGTACCAAAAAAAAAGGAGCAATCTTTCGAAGGCACCTTGCCACTTAATTCACTCAATTCACTATTTAAAATAAGCTTAAGTTCCTAAGTCAGCCCATGGATAGGACACCAAAACAGTTTAACAAATTTTCACATTTCAAGCCAGGGAAAATGAGAGAACAACCTCTCAAACTCCAAGTTCCAGGCTCACTACTCAACAGAGATCTAAAGCCTCATGTTTCATTTTATAAATTCTTTTAAGAATTGTATCCATACCTAAACCAGGAATTTGGAGTCCTTACTACCTTCCCAGCTTGCTGCTTTAAAGTTTAACAACTATCTAACTGAAAATGGAAGGGATTTATGAAAGTCTGGAGGTTCAGGGGAATCTACTTACCACAGGTTATTTTTAAGAACCGTGGGGATCAGTGGATGTTTCTGAAGGATGACCAAGGTAAAAAAAAAAAAAGCTACCTCCAAGGACGTGAATGAGGAAGAGAATAAAGAAAACGCCACTGCTTGAATTCAATTGGAGGAAAAAGAAAAGGTGAAATAACATTTTTACAGTGTAAGAAAAGAGCAAACAGCAAGGAAGAAGAGTCTCCTAGAAATTTGGCAAAGTCAGGTAAAGAATAAAAGACTCTCGACGATAACCTGGGATAACCATTTTATAATCATTCACTGTACTGATTTATTCATTTCCTCTCTCCAAATCAGAAAAATCTCTTTAAATTCCACCAGGAAACATCACCTACCAAGTTTTTTCCCACTAATGTGAATATCCCTTACGCAATTTGTGGGAAAAGCTCTATTAAAAAAAGATCACCCTGCAACAGGTGAGGACGAAGAAAGATGGTCATACAATTCATTTCGGTATGAGTTGTCTAGGAAGGTGTTAGTACAGTAATTAAGAAGTAGGATGACGGTCCCGAGGAAGGTCACGGACTAGTGATTACTAAGACAAACGACCTGAAATATTTGGGGGTCACTAATAAACGTAAATAAGGATTCTTACAAACTTCTGGAAAAACTGGAAGAAGAGGCAAGCCACAACAGCTGCCCGTTGACAATGACTGAAACAGACGAAGCAACAGAGACAATAATTAGGGCTTCCATGGCCCCATTTTCATCTTAGAGAACACATAAACCATGAGAAGAATTTAAGCCACCCTCCTCACCGGGAGGCGGACCAAATGCTGTAAGAAGCAGTTCAGAATCTACCGTCGGAAGCCGTGGGGGAGACAGGGGTGCCGTACCTCTTGGCGCTGGTGGAGAGGAGCTTGGAGTTTTTGCTCATGCTGACTTTACTCTCCTTCTTCTTGGGGGTGTTTGTTTCTTTCTCGGTTTGCTGGTTGGAGGACGAAGATGAGGAGGAGCTGGTACTGGCCCTCGAATCGTCATCCGACATAGCGAACCCCCCACCCCACCCCGCAAACAGCCCCTGCAGCGGGAGGGAAACAAAACAGAAACACAAGGCCATGCAGGGAGGGTAAATACGGAACTCGGGTTCCGTCGGGAGGGCACCGCGGCGCCCACCGCCCTCCACCCTCTTCCCAAAGTCTCCAGGGCCACGAAGGCTCTAGCAAATCGGACGGGTCTTGTTTGTTGCTTTCCTGCCCCGAGTGGGGGACGCGGCGGGCAGCCTCTCCCTCGCCCCTGGGCTCCCCACCCGGCCTCGAGGGAGAAGGCGAGGCGGAGAGGGGGCAGGGGTGCGGGGCGGCCGCGAGGCTCGGGAGGGAAGGTCCGGGCGGCCCGCCGGCCTCGGGGCTGTTTTTGTCCGCTCGCGGGGTCTCGGGGCGCCGGTGGCCCGGGCGAGACTGCGGGGCCACGAGCGGAGTTTGCGGAGGTCGGGAAGAGGGGAGGGGCGGGAAGGAGTAAGAGAGGAAGCCGAAACGGGGGGGACGGGGGCGGGGAGCGGTGCCCGGTGGGGGAAGGGAGGCCGGCGGGGCAGGCGCGACCAGGCCGAGGACCCAAGCCGCGCCCGCCGCCCCCATCCCGGGCGGCCCGGTTCCGACTGCGCGGCCGGCGGGGGTCCAGAGCTCGCGCGCCGCCGCCGAGGGGTGGGGTGCGGGGGCCCGGCCTCGGCAGCGCAGGAATAACAATGAGCCCGCGGCCCGGAGGGGACCATGCCCGCGGGCCCCCGCCGGGCGGAGCGCAGGGCTCCCGCCTCCCCTCCCCCGCCCCGGCCCCTCCGCGGCCGGCGGGGGCTCCGGGGCAGCGCTGACAGTTCGCGTCGCGAGCTCCCCCCCAACCCCGGCCCGACGCGGGCGGCCCCCGAACCCCACGCGGCCCGGGGCCCCTGCCCATCCCCCGCGAGCGGGTCCCGGACCCCTGCGGTTCCCCGGCCCCTTGCTGCCTCCTCCGACCCCGTGCCCCACGGCCCGGGCGGCGCGGGGCGGGCGGCCGGCTGGCCGGGGTGTCCCCGGGGCCCGGCGGCGCGGCCGGGGGGGCGACGGGAGGCGGGGGGGATCCCCGTACCTCTCTTTGTGTCTGGCTTCTCCGTGCCGCCGCGGCGGCTGTGCTGCGGCTGCGGCTGGGCCTGGCCACTCGTGTCTCTCTCTCGCTGGGAGAGAAGCGGAAGTGCAGCAACAGCAACTATTAAACAGGCAATGGCTTCCCCCAGCCACACACGCTCGCACACACACCCCTCCTCCTGCCGTCCGCCCCCTCCGCCCCCTCCGCCCCTGCCCGCCTCTTCCCTCCCCTCCTTCTCCTCCCTCCCCTCCCCCACTGGTCCACCCACCCGCCCTCCTCCGGCAGCACCTGGGAAGGGGGGATCGCCAGGAGGACGCTGGGCCACGGGAAAGCCCTGTCCCCCCACACCCACACCCCAACGCCTCCTCCGAACGCCCGGGAAGGGGGCGAGGGGTGTCTGGGGACCGGGATTCTGGGCGTGAGAGGTGGGCGCGATTGCAAGTGCTATAGAGGGAATTGGGGGTCCACTAGAGGAAGTTCTTTCCCACGAGGGCTTTTGGAAAAGGGTGGCAAATTGGTGGGATAGATGATAATCTGGTGCAAGGACTTTGGACTAGAGAATGCAGCGGGAACTCCTCCTAAAAGTGACCGGTTTAAAGAGAGAAAAAATCCCACAACAGGGTTTCCATTGGGCTGACACTTGCTTCTCCCTCTGGAAGTTTACCTGCGAGAAGCAGAGGTCTTGCCTGTGAGAAAATCCCAAACTAGGAGCTTTCTGTTCGGGGCGCCAGGCACGTGCAATTTTACAACATTACATTCTTCCATTCGCTTTTTATAGAAAGTGATGTGGTTTTATAAAATAATAGAAAAGATTTCATGACAGGTAAAACGTAGCGGGGCTTGCAAGTGTGCGAAATCGCTGGGAATAAACCATATACCGCTGAATTTGACGGGATTGAGAATTTTTTGTACGAGTTTATGTTAGATGTAAAGTTTGATTTTGTAGAAATCGAAGGAAAGTTTTAGGGACTGCTGTTACCTTCTTTTGCTACAATAAAAATGCTGTTCAAATATTTTTAGAGTATTCAGTAATTTTGAACTTTTCGTTGCTTATCATTTTACCCAAATTGATTAAGTATTAAGCCATCAAATTATAACTTAGTTTTTCACCCATTTGTCATTTAATTTGAAAGGAACTGAAGAAATATGTGCCATCCAAATACAACTGTGCCATGTGTACAGGATCTTGTACTTTGAGGAGACAACCCCCAGTCAGATTTCCATGAGCCACTTTAAATAATCTCACTCAAATTGCCATCATTTTCCATGGCAACAGTGGCTTCAGTTACCACGAGACAACACAAGATTTAAGCCCCAGTAACCAGGAAAACAGGCATTCTCACTACCCATTTAAACCCCTTCTGCCCATTAACCTGAAAACCCAATTTTACTAAAATTCATAAGTGATTTGTATACACTTCTCCCTTGATTCGTTTGAAGAAATCTGTATCTACTAAGAGTTGTCATAGAATCAAGGAGTGTAAAAACTGGGAAAATCCTTACAAGTCATTTTCAGCTTCCTGCATCGTGGCGGAGCTATCCCTCCACTACACAAAAGCATATGGATTTTTAAAAGATCTCCAGACATAGTCTTTCTGAATGTTTGGTTTTCAGGAGTCCTGCTAGAGGACATAAAAATGATGTTTCACACCTTACAATATTTGAAAAAAAAGTTTGAAAGCAGGTTTTGTACATTTTATTGCTGATGAAAAAGATGAGAAAACAATAAACATGGACGAAATGAACTCAGGATGAGGAAAATAATGCAACAAAGCCATTAAAATTGACGTTATCCCCTTGCAAAATTTTGATTCATTTTTATTTTCACTTTTTTGGTGGTAAGGACCAAGCTCAGGGCCTTGTGCCTGCTAAGCAAGCCCTCTATCACTGAGCTAAATCCCCAGCCCCTAAATTTTTGATATTTAAAAATATATGTCTACCCTATGCATACAAATAGAAAAAAAATCATATGGAGCCAGGCAAGGTGGCACACACCTATAATTTTAGCTATTCAGGAGACTAAAGCCAGAAGATTGAAAATTTGAGGCCAGCGTGGGCAACTTAGCAAGACTGTCTCAAAGAATTTAAAATACAGTAGTTTTTTAAAAAGAATTTAAACTTTTAAATCAAATATGTATAAAGTCGAATTTTTTTCTTTAATGTTGGTTAGCATAAATTGTGTATTTGAATATTGACTTTAATAATAATTTTTCATATTTTTTAAAGTAACAACGTGATAGTTTGGGTTTTATTGCTGAGGCTTGGGTTGGAAGGTCTCTGGGGAAATAAATGATAAACTCCAAGTCGGAGGGCTCCTCCTACATAGGGAAGTGTTTTCTCAATCACTTGTCTGAAAGGCTCCTAGTCTCCTTCTGGCTATTTCCCCAATCTGTAATACACACTACTGTAAATTAGTCCTTTAGGATTTTAGAATGACCTGCCAGGGGGAATAAGGACCTCAAAATGCCTAGAAAAGAATCCACTGCTTTCAAAACACTAATCTTTATGTCAGAATGTTTTAAATACACAGTTGTGTTAGAAAAATATTCATTTACAACCTTTTAACACTTCCACTACAAGGCCTAGGGTGCTAAGCTGACTTCCTTGAGCCTGTTTCCTCATCTGTAAAGGTCAAGAATGCCTACACTGTACAGGCTGGCGGGACCAAATGTGTCTATCGTGAACATGGTTTATTAGCTGATACATAAAATAAATCATTAATCCTCCCCTGGTCCAACCCCTCAGGCATTTGTTTAGGACATAGGGTCTTTATGACTGAGAATTCACGACAAGTGCTTGCGGTATAGGAAACCTTGTGGGAGGAAGGTAGAGTCGAGGAACAAGGCTTTTAATACTAGAAGGGGCCTAAGATCTTTTTTTGAAAAGCAAGATTTTACTTTTAGTAAAGGTATTAGAAGTAGGAAAAGGAATATGCTCTACAGAGTGAGTGCGGGCCAGTTAAAGGTAGGGGAAGAAGTATGCCCAGTACAGTGCAGAGCCGGCTGGTAAAAAGTTTCCCAGCGCTGAGATGGTCTACTTCACATTCATGTTACAGATGAAGAAATTAAGGCAAAGAAAGCTGGTACATCTTATCCAAGGTCATGCAGTAAATTGGTGGCAAAAAAGCAGTTATGACCCTGCCCAGCCACAGATTATCTTGTCAGTTCTGGCAGTATCAGAGTGGAAGAAGTACCTCAATTACCTGGGAGAAAAATGTATTAAACATAAGAGAACTGTAATGTTTTTAAGAATACATTAACAATCAAGATATAGTTGGGCAAGTGGAAATATGGAAGCAAACTAAGGGAATCACTGAATTCGTAATCTTTACTTGAATAAACTGACTTCTTGACATTTCCTGCCCTTATCCTGAGAAGAGTCCTCACTTTTATTTCGCATTTATGGGTATATTTTAAATAGGTAATACATTTTCATGCCACATTGTTTTAAAAAACAAACAAAAACTCAACCCACGCTACAAAAATGGCCTTTGCTCTTCCCCCACTCCAAGTTTCCCCCAGGGGAAGCAGTTTTCTGGTGTACTCAGTCTAGCAAGCGCTTTGATGCGCCTGCTCAATTTACATTTTAAAAAACACCCCCAGTCACAGAAGCCCAAGTGGGCACAGCAGTGTGATCCCTCATGGGCTTTGAGAAAGTAGGCTCCAGTTTTTACTAGTGCCTATTCCTGGTTCTCAGAAAGATCCACCTCTCCAAGTCATCTTTAGGGTATCAAGTACTATTTAAGTAGAAGCACTTGAAGATCAAGGTGCTAGCTCATTCCTAGGAGGTAAAATGAAACAGTTGATTGAAAAGAAAGAGAGACCCCGTTAAACTTTGGAACACTCCTATTTTGGGCTTGTTGCTCACATTTGAAATTACAGTATTTCCTAAAGATGACTGCTCTCTTTGGCCAATTCCATGCCCAAACAATAGTCAAACAAATTAATATTTGTTAATATGGTTTATGAATGTTATCATTATGTATATCTAAAATGTACCAATACATGTTTTGCTTCCAAAAAATATGGTTTTTTAAACTTACCTATGGCTAACTAGAAATTATGGTCTTTTTCTGTCAAATAAACCAAAAAATAGCTTGTGTTTAGAATTTAAAAAGAAGGTCTTCAAAGTTCTTTTGGAAAAGATAGATTTCAACCCACTTCCTTTATTTGTTTGTTTGGGTTTTTTTGGTGGGGGTACCGGAGATCAAACTCGGGTCTTTGCGCTTGTGCAGCAGGCAGCAAAACCACTGAGCTAAATCCCCAACCCCTATTTGTTTGTTTTTTTAATCTTTTGCAATACTGGGGATTGAACCCAGGGCCTTCATACTAAGCTATGTCCCCAGGCCTTTTCTATTTTTTGTTTTGTAATAGCTAAGTTGCTGAATTGCCTAGGCAATTTCAAACTTGGGATCCTCCAGCCTCAGCCTCCCAGAGTACTGGGATTACAGGTGGGCGCCAGCATATCAGACTTTACTTCATTTTATAATGCTCCTGTGAGCTGAAAAAAGTCTATTTCTTATACAGAAAGATGAGGAAGGTTCATGAGAAAGGATGAATTCCCTGAAACCTAACCTTAATTCAGGTCATTTTCCCATAACACTTAAAAAAAAAAAAAAAAGCTGACTGGTTTGAAGGACCCTAAGCATTATTAGACTCTATTGGTCCTGAATGTCACTATCACAGGAAGCTAGGACAGAGCTAAATTACTTTTTCTACCACATGGAGGTATTGAACAACCATGTGATTGTCAAAATCTACCCAGACTTGTTAAGAGTCTAATGCCCTCTTAGGCAAGGGCAGAAGAGTTTATTTGATGTCTACAAATGTGTAGTGCTTCATACAAGAACACTCTTCTCAATATATAATTTAGCATCTCCTCTGTAGGACCTATTTTCTAAACAAATTAGCCTTCTTCAACCTTCCATACATTGACCACATGAGGATGGATTATACTGGAATATACTGGATAGTAGTTTGAGCAGTTTGGCTCATTAGTTTCTGAAACCTTTTCCTGAATTTGACACTTTTTCAGTTTATTGAAATTTGGAGGAATAAAACGACAGGGAAAAATTACTTTTATTTCACACTCTTAATTATCTATTGTGAAACTTTAAAAAAAAACACATCAATTTCTCCACAGTTCAGTGGTGTGGCCAGTCTATGGTCAGAGATCCAATTATGAATCCAAAATTTGCCTCAGTAAT